TTTTTTTTTTTTTTTTTTTTTTTCTTTTTTTTATTCTTGGGCCATGGTTTTTCCAGTATCTGCCCTGAGCTAGGTACCATCAGCTTCACAGTGTAGAAGGTTTACTGTTTATTTATTTATTTTTTTGCAGTTAACTAGGGGTACCAAGGTGAGATAGTCTGAAAAGCACTGTACAAGTTCACTTTTCCTCAGTGAATTCTTTCTGGTCTGTTTTTAGGCCCAACCTCTCACCCAAGTTTTCTAACTTTCTTCAGGTCATTTCTGCCTAATCCAGGAGTTCTTAACTTTTTCTTTTTTTTCCTTGTTGTTGTTTGAGAGGCAGGGTCTCCCTCTGTCATCCAGGCTAGAGTGTAGTGCCGTGATCATAGCTCTTTGCAGCCTCAGCCTCAGGCTCAAATGATTCTCCCACCTCAGCCTCGCAAAGTGCTGGGATTACAGGTGTGAGCCACTGTGCCCAGCATTCTTAACCTCTTACTAATACAGTATTAGTTGGTTCATGGACTCTTGGAAACCTTCTATAAATTTTCCAGGTGTGTCAGGACCCCAGGCTAAGAACCTTGTACCCAGAGGAATCTGTAACTAAATGTTAAGACCCAGAGATAAAACATGTATATGTTTAGGTGATTTACTGTCATGATTACCCTGTGTATCATAAATCAGCTCATCGTTTCAAATTTTTCATTTCTAGACATAGTATAACCATTTTCTTGGATTCTTATTCTATGCCCCCACTCAGGCCCCATCTCAGACCTATTAACTCTAGAAATCTGTATTTTGACTACATTTCCTAGTTGTTTCTGACATACTACCAGATTTGTCTTATTTTCGGATTCCAGGGGAGAAGTTCAGCATTAGGCTTAACAAGTGGATTTTAAGTAGACACATACCTCTCATTTGATCTTTTTGTTGTTGTTGTTATAAGAAATATGCCCTTAATAGAAAAAAATTGTAAATATAGAGACAGAAAAATCATGCTTACTTTTGGACACCATCCAGAGTCAATTGTACATTCCATTTTAGGAATTTCTTTTTTGGTTATTTTTGTTCAGTTTTCTTTGTGATCATGCTCTAAATACAAGCTTGCTTTTGTTTTGCTTTTACTCCTGGCAAGCTGTGAACTAAATTCAATTTTATATTCTGTCGTTTTGTTTAATGTAGTGTTAACCTTTCCCTTGTCATTAGAATCTGTGATGATATTTTTAATGGTTATGTGGCATTCCACATTTTGGAATTTAACCTGTTCCCTAATATTGGACATCTGGAATATTTACCTTTTTATACTTATAAATGGTGATGCACTGATCATTTCTGTGGACAAGGCTGTCTGAATTTCTGATTATATCCTTAATAGATAGAATGCTCAAAATGGTCTTAATATATTGCTTTTGAGGTTAACCACATTTTATCCTTACCAGCAATGAAATGTTATCATTTTTACGAATTATTTTTAATGTAATGAATCAGAAGTAGTATCTTTTTAACATTTGTATTGCTTGATTAATAGTTGGAATGGACTGTTTTCCTTTAGAGTCAAGACTTTGATAAATGTTTGTTTAGAGATGTTAATTTGTCTGTTTAAGTCTTAGTATTCTCATTAATTTAGATATAAGTCATATGTATTAAGAACGATAACCTTTGTCATATTGGTTGTCCTTTTTTAAATTACTTTCTTTTTTATGTAACATTTTAATTTCTATATTTCCTGCATTCCTTTTAAGCTTAGAAATATTATACACACTTGAAATCAAATGGATATTTCTATAGAAATTGTTTAACTCATATTATGGCTACTATGCCAGTAGATTTTATATTTCAAAACATTGATTAAGCATTAGTTTTATTTCTAGACTGTCCCTTGCTCTTAACCTCCCCAATACTTCCGTATCAAGTACTCATATCCCCTAATAAAACTCAAAAGGATGACACAGGGCTGGGGTCTCAGATCCTTTTTTTCACCCCTGGGTGTGCTGTCCCCTGCATCTGCTCGCCAGAGACTGGGCAGGATGAGATCAGATTCTCTATTATTCACTCATTGATTTATTTAGCCTCTAGGGGTGAGTTTATTTTCATAAAGGTAGAATACATACTTGGAAGATTTATCGATGTTACCACCATAAGCCTGCATCCTTTTATTTTAATAGATGAAGTGTTTAGAGGACATGAGCCAGGTCAAGCAGCAAACAGATCTGTGTCAGCAGCGGATGTTGTGTTGTACGGAGTAAACCTAATTCTGCCCTTGATGTCACAGGATCTCTTGAAGGTAATCAATGAAATTGAATGTCAACATACAACTATATGTAATTGAAGTTCAAAGATACTTTAGACGAGAGTATGTCTGTGATTTAATTAAGCAGTTGTATCTGTTCAATGCACACGAAGATGCAGTTTTTGCATTTTCATTAATGGGTACTTGTGCGTGCTGCTCAGTAACATGGGCCCTTACTCAGTCTCTGTTTCTGCCCCAGAGTCCTGCAGGCACCCACACATTAGTGACTCATTTTGTCAGGGAGTGCCACAGAAAGAAGCCTGTGCTTTTAGAAACGACATTCTGTTAGCAGTTTTGATTACCTCATAATTTGTCACTAAGGGAATAAAGTAAGTTAAAAGTTTCAGTGTTTTCCTCTGATACTTTCTGAACATCATTCTCAGGTTAAAGGATTGAGCAAAGGAAGGCATTTTCCAAGGGGCACCATGTAAAAATGGGATGGTAAGCATCCAAGACTGATGCTGTTTTAAAGTTTTTGCATGTTCTGACTACGTTATGCCTTGGTTTTGCCAGTTAATATTGAGGGTGTGGTGGTGGTGGGGCACCATTTTTCTACCATCCATAAGTACCCTAGAGGGAGGTCTCTTGTCATGAGTTCTCATAGCAGGATAAGGGTGGGGATGAGGACACGGGTGGAAAGGAAAGGAGGACTTTGTGTATGTGCCTGTGTGCGTGCACACACACACGAGATAAAGACAAGGGAGGAGAGTAGGAGGAAGTAAGAGAGTAGAGGCTGAGAAGTGTCCGGAAGGTGAGTACGTACCAGAAGAATGGGTCCTGTCAGTTGCCAGCACAGCAGGGTCGAACCGTGTGCTTCCCTCCTCGAGAACGTCTCCGACTCTCGGAAACAACGCTGATGATCCATGGTATTCACGCGGCGGCCAGCCAGCAGGATGAGGAAGTTTAGTCAACTCTTCATATTGATTTGCATGTAGGGTTTGTTTAAACAAGCCAGTAAACATTTAAGTGTGTATTTTTCTTAAGTGTGGTTAAACCATATTACCTACTTTTACCTCAGTTCTCTAGGGTAGTACAACTGGAAGAATGTGTTTGGAAGCGTGAAGACCGAATACTCTGCTCTGTGCATAGTCTTTACGATTTGTATTAACCTTCTTGAATTTTTTCAACACGCTTGAATGGAAATACATTTACAAAACGGTTTTACTCCCAAGTTGTTTAATAATTTTAAATCTGGCTGCCTTGTTTACTTTTTCAGGGTAAACATAGAGTATCTGAAATTGACCTTAGCTTTTATTAACTACCTAGAAGATCGTTGTTTAGACTATTACTTTGTTTCATAGTAGTTACTAAAATATGCCCTTTATTTGTACCTGTTTTTACATTTAGTTTGGTCTTCATGTTTTCTATATCTTGTACATGTTTTAAAGAAATCATTATATTTAGAAGCTTGTCAGTTACTTTATTGCATTGATGAAAATAAAAATTGGATACTAATGAGCATCCAAATAATTTAATATTTCTTTTTCAGTTTCCAACCCTTTGTAATCAGTACTACAAACTAATCACATTTATTTGTGAGATTTTTCCTGAAAAAATACCACAGCTTCCTGAGGATCTGTTTAAAAGTCTGATGTACTCCCTAGAATTAGGAATGACATCATATCCTTTAAATGAACATCATTGTTACTTGTCACTTGGGGAAAAAGGTCTTCCTTTAAAAAAAAGTGTTTTAAGTTTACATTTTTCGTTTTTCTTTTGTGGTTCAATTTTATTTCTTGAAAAACCCTGGGCCAGGCGCGGTGGCTCACACCTGTAATTCCAGCACTTTGGGAGGCCAAGGCGGGTGGATCACCTGAGATCAGGAGTTCGAGACCAGCCTGGCCAACATAGTGAAACCCCATCTCTACAAAAATACAAAAAATTAGCTGGGCATGGTGGTGTGCGCCTGTAGTCCCAGCCACTCGGGAGGCTGAGGCAGGAGAATTGCTTGAACCTGGGAGGTAGAGGTTGCAGTGAGCCGAGATTGCGTGATTGCACTCCAGGCTGGGCAACAGGAGCGAAACTCTGTCTCAAAAAAAAAAAACCAAAAAACAAAAACCGGTCACTTCTGTAACTGCTTTGTTTCTTTCGTTAGTTTGCCTCGTCCTGTCCTTTCACAGATCTCTGAGGCATTCGGTCCTGGTTCCACAGTTACCCCTTCATCAGGGTCCCATTAGTAATGTTGAGCTGGGTCTCTGGTCGTAGCTGTGATTGTAGAGAATAATACGACTTTTTAATAAGTTGTATGTATCATAAACTGAAACAAGCTATACATCACCAGGCTCAAACCCAGAACCCTTACAGGCGATCTGAAGAACACTGGAAATCTTTCCTTGTATAACTCGGTGAAGATATTGCCCAGGAGTCTGCTTGTGTATCTGTATTCATTTCTAGAAACACTCATCCGTTTAACACTAGCTATAATTTTTTTTATCTTTTATAAATCGAATATATCCAATCGAGTTTGTTCTTTGACCTTCATGATCAGAATGAGTTCGGAGGTTTGCCAGCTCTGCCTGGAGGCCCTGACACCGTTAGCTGAACAGTGTGCAAAAGCACAAGAAACAGATTCACCACTTTTTCTAGCAACACGGCACTTTCTGAAGGTAAGATGTCTGTGGTAGGTCAGAAAATCATCTACTTTCAAAAGTATGGTCGGTACACAGAATTCTGCATTCAAATGAGGAAATGCTTCCATTCTTGCGGGGGTGAGGAAACCATGACTTCCTGTTCACTGTTATTTCCTGGAGATCAACTCTTCATGGACATATTCTCATCCACTATTTTTTGTGTTCTTGAAGATTGATATGGTAAATATTGAGGGAATTTGATATTGTTGATTATTCAGATACCACAGCAAGTTGCAATATCTTTTTTTTTTTTTTAAACATTAAGGAAAATTTCAGATTGATTTAATAAATAGAATAACAACCAACCCTCTCTTTTTCTTTTTTGGACTGGGGAGGGACGGGAGGATATATGATCATCCTGTGTTTTTATTTAGAAGTCTTAATGTAATTTCAGCTGGTTTTTGATATGCTGGTTTTGCAAAAGCACAACACAGAGATGACCACTGCGGCTGGCGAAGCTTTCTACACGTTGGTGTGTTTGCACCAGGTACTGGACATGCCTCTTTTCAGGGGACTCTTCTCATTCTGTTTTGCAAAGAAATTGTTGAGATAGATGGTGGGTCATTAATCCCCCCTTTCTTATAGGATCTGTGACGCAGTGCCTCAGTGCCTCAGTTCTGTTTCAGTGAGGCAATATTTCTTAGCTTCTTTATTAGCTTTCCCATGTCAGTTGGTGTTTATCTGACAGCTGTTTGACAGTTCAAAGCATTTATTTTTTGTCCTCCACCATTATGAACCATCTTTTGTAATGGTCACTGCCCCAAAGCCTGTGCTAGGAATGACGAATACATAATGGGTATGTGAAGAACTCATGGTTTTGTAAGAGAAACAAGATGGCAGACAAGGAAGAGTCTGCCTTCAGACAGTATGGAAGACAGTATTTTATTGCATATTGTAGAAAACAGTATATTATTTCATTTTGTTGATCTTTTAAAGACTCTGAAGCATCACTGATAATGGGGTTAATAGAAGAGTTAGGCTAGCTTCCCTGTCTCCCCGCTTCTGATAGAATAGGTGCCTGTGAAATTTATGAAAAGGACCATATTGAATATTTTGCTGCCTCAGTTTCCCATTTTCCTCTCCCATGCATATATATACACACACATATATACACACACACATATATGTGTATATATATACCTCCCAGCATGGCCAAGAAGCTGTGGCATTTTATTTCCATCTTTAAAAAGGGTTTAGAGGAGGTCTTCCACACTATTTTAAAGACCTCCTTTCTCTAGATTTCCCGTAACATCTGTGCCCCAAGCTGAAGGTGCTCTGGGGCTATATTTCTTGCTCTTTGCCGTAGGCTGCCACTTTCTGCCGGTGGTGCCCCCTCTCAAATTTGTGCCCTTTCTCTGTCATTTGATATACTTGTTGCTTACTAGCAAGGTAGTCTTCTTGTCTGCATATATTTAAACCATTACATTCTGATCCTCTCTCCCTCCTTCTTTTCTTTTTTTCTTTTTTCTTTCTCTCTCTCTTTTTTCTTTTCTTTTATCTCTTTCTTTTTCTTTCCTTTCTTCCTCCCTCCCTCCCTTCCTTCCCTTTCTTTCTCCCGCCCTCCCTCCTTTCCTCCCCCCCGCTTCCACCCTCTGTCCCTTCCTCCCTCCCCTCCCCTCCCCTTCCATTTTAACATATTTGCACACTGTAGAAAAGAGCAGGTTTTAGGAATGGCCAGTATGAAACCTGCCTGGCCCCAGAGGCTCTACTACCTTGCTTTTTTTTTTTTTTTTTTTTTTAAGACACTTTATTACCCAGGCTGGAGTGCGCTGGTGCAATTACTGCTCACTCCAGCCTTGGCCTCCTGGCCTCAAGCGATCCTCCTGCCTCAGCTCCCCAGGTAGCTGGGACTACAGGTGTGCACCACCACACCTGGCATATTTTTTGTAGAGACGGAGTTTCACCATGTTGCCCAGGCTTGTACGGAACTCCTGAACTTAAATAATCCACCCGCCTCGGCCTCCCAAAGTGCCTAGGATTACAGGTGTGAGCCCCACGCCTTGCCACCTCTGCCATTTCTTGTGAGTAGGGAAATGATAGGAGATTATACTTGGTCGCCTGTGAACAGGACTGTCCCTGGGATAGGGCAGTCAGGGGCGCCGCTCTGACTCCATGGTTGGGGATTGGGATGCTGCACCTTACCCTTCTTTTCCAAATGTAATTAACGTTTGGTTTCACCATTTTGGTCTATCATGATAGCCCAAGAAGCCAGTGAAAAATTACAGCATGCCAGGCGCAGTGGCTCATGCCTGTAATTTTTGCACTTTGGGAGACCAAGGTGTGTGGATCGATTGAGGCCGGGAGCTTGAGACCAGCCTGCTTAACATTGCAGAACCCTGTCTCTACTAAAATTACAAAAGTGAGCCAGGCATGGTGGTGCATGCCTGTAGTCCCAGACTCTTGGGAGGCTGAGGTGGGACGATCACTTGAACCCAGGAAGCAGAGGTTGCAATGAGACAGGATCTCACTCTGTTGCCCAGGCTGGAGTGCAGTGGAGCAGTCATGGCTCACTGCAGCCTCAACCTCCTGGGCTCAAGCGATCCTCCCACCTCAGCCTCCCAGGTAGCTGGGACTACAGCTGTGCACCACCACAACTGCCTAAGTTTTAAATGTTTTTTAGAGGTGGGATCTCACTGTGTTGCCCAGGCTGGTCTCAAATTCCTGGGCTCAAACAGTCCTCCCTCCTCAGCCTCCCAAAGTGCTAGCATTAAAGGCCTGAGCCACTATGTCTGGCCAGGCCAGCTTTTTTTTTTTTTGAGACAGAGTCTCACTTTGTCGCCCAGGCTGGAGTGGAGTCGTGCGATGTCTGCTCATTGAGAGCTCCGCCTCCCGGGTTCCTGCCATTCTCCTGCCTCAGCCTCCCGAGTAACTGGGACTACAGGCGCCCACCACCACGCCTGGCTCATTTTTTTTTATTTTTAGTAGAGACGGGGTTTCACCGTGTTAGCCAGGATGGTCTCTATCTCCTGACCTCGTGATCCACCCGCCTGGGCCCCCCAAAGTGCTAGGATTACAGGTGTGAGCCATGGCGCCCGGCCTCCAGGCCAGCATTTTTTGAGAGCTTACCTCTGTCCTGGTTGAATTTCCCTTCAGCCTAAACCTTCTTCCACTTTCCTTTATAAGCTTTTATAATAGACTACTAAAAATAGAAAATTTCCCATATTCCTATATTTACTAAAGTCCTTTCCCTGCCCTTTCTCTAAGAGCTGCTGGGCACAATGCCGGTTTGGAGCTTTCAGAGTGCCCTGCTCCACTTGGAGAAGGAGCTGGAATATATTTCTCCGCCCCCTCCTCCCAAAAGGCTCCTGCCTATCCTGTCTTTGTGCACACTGCTGTCCTCAGAACTGGGTGTACAATATATCCCTATTAACCTCTGGGGAACTACTGCAGACTTAGAGTATGTGTAAAATGCAAAATAAATAGGAATAATGTGCTTTGAAGAGGCAGCACAACAAAGTTATTTGTCACATGGGTCTTGGGGCTACCTTGCCTGGACTCTTGCTTGATCTGGGCCGTATCACTAAACCTCACTGAGTGCTGAAACTTTCAGCTCTGGAATAGGAATAGAAACAGTACCTGTCTGAAAGCTTTGTTGTAAATGATCGATGAATTAATTCGTGTAAAAGGTTTTCAAACAGTAGTACTTAAATGCTGAATTACTCTACATGTTAGCTCTTAAAATGTGCCCCTGCCTTTTGGAACCCCACAGTCCAGTAACTGATATGATCTACTTGTATGATATTCTAAGGAGGATACTTGTGTTTCCTTTGTCTCTTCAATAGGCTGAATATTCTGAACTGGTCGAAACATTACTGTCAAGTCAGCAAGACCCAGTTATTTACCAGAGATTAGCAGATGCCTTCAACAAGCTCACTGCAAGCAGCACTCCTCCCACGCTGGACCGGAAGCAGAAGATGGCCTTCTTAAAGAGTTTAGAAGAATTTATGGCAAATGTCGGTGGTCTCCTTTGTGTAAAATAAACAACGTAACTTCATGCTTTAGATCCTTTCTGCAAAGTGCACTGAATTGCTGAAAGTTGACTTGAGTCTTGTCCTATTCCTCAGTTCATTTGGCCATTTTGGATTTTGGAGAGCCTGAAACTTTGATATGTATGTAATACAGTGAAACAGGAGAGGTCAACTTGGCATCAGCTTCTGCTGTTAAGTGTTAGCCACAATCTGTCATACGTATGTCTTTTAGATTTTGAATGATGATTTAAAATTTTCAAAATGAAATTCCATATATGTGCAAACAGATATGGGCACCACGAAATACATATGCAGTGCCTTTTTCCTTTTAACCTAGGTGGCTAGCCAAAGTTTAGAATTTTTGTCCTTAAATATGAAATGGATATATGCTAGGCAGTGTTTCTCAACATCTCCATAGATCGCCTGCATCACTTGAGGAGCTGGTGAAAAGGTAGATTCTTAGGCCCAGCGCCATCTGTAGACCTTCAGAGTCTTAATGTCTGGTTGCTGGGCCCAGGAGTCTTCATGTTAATAAGCTTCTCCTTCCCGTCACCCCAAAAGTTTTGAATCAATGAAAGAGACATTGAAAGCTCTTCAAAGGTTTTACGCTTTCTAGCTTTTCCTCCCTTTGATGATTGGGTTTATAATTCAGCAGGAAGGGGAGACATCACCAGGGGTTTGTTGGCTGTTTCTTAGCTTGCTTTCCTGCTTGCTTGCTTTTCTTGCTTTCTGTCTCTCTCTCTCTCTTTCTTTTCTCTCTGTCTCTCTTACATCAATCCAGCGTTGCAGGTTTTGTGTAATACAAGTCACTAATCATACTCTGATGCCTGAACTTGAGGAGGAAAATACATGTATATTTTTGTTCTATAAAAATAACCTTAGGAACTGTAGCCATTTCATTGCCTTAATTTTAAGAGGAAAGTACAAAAACAGCTGATTTGTTTTAGTAAGAAACCACGTCTTGATGCTTCAGAGTTGGTTTAGGGTGTTAGCTGCTATGAACCTGTTGCCCCTTTCGATCGTGTATTTATGTAGATTTATCAGTGAAATGAAAGGCTTGTTCCCGTCTAGTCTAACTTTTTGAGTGTGTTTCTATCCAGCCACATAGCCC